CTCTAACGCTGGTGTGTATTTTTGGCATGAACTGTGCTTATAGCTGCACTCTGCATAACAATTTCAAGTTCATTTCCTTCTGTATCTTGAACACGGACACACTAAATCACCAATGAAAGGATGACATGCTATTACCCAATATGTGTTAGGGAATGACCACTGTTAATACATTCATTACTTCTATCATTGACACTTCATTACATTGTTTACTACTGCTAAAGGATATACAGTATTTTTAAACCCAGAAAGTTATGCTTAACTGTTACATTTCCACTCCATTGCTCATTTTGACATCTGATATCAAGAGTAGCAATGAGCACCGTTCAGAACACATACAATACTGATGATCTCTCCTGAAATCAAGACCAAAAAGGTCAGAAGTTAAAGAAAGTCCTGCCGAGGAAACAAGTAGCAGTGTTGGGGTCCTGTGAAAAAGTTAGCTGACAACTGTTAGGATACTTGAGAAAGATGTGCAAGCAAAAGGCAGAGGAAATTACCTAAGGTACAAAATATGGAGGCTGTTCTAATGAAGAAAGCAACAAAGCAGATAGAGTTAAGCATTATGATGCAATAAATAACACAAAGCATTTTTTTAGTTACCCTTGTATTTTTTTCTAGGTCGTGGCTGGCCAACGTAGCAGGGAGAGGAATATGTATATTAACATTAACCGTGCAGTCTAAAGATAGCCAAGAAGCAGAAAGAGCATTCTGGTATTTCCAGTCTGCTGGCTTAGCTGTACTCTAAAGGATAAAAAAAAGAGGCTCAATTATTACAGTATCTCAAATATAAATGATAAACCATCCAATCTAAATGACTCGATCTGTGCATTTATTCATGAATCGAATAAGAGTTATTCTGTAGGTAGCACATACAGAATTGTAGTTTACGTCTGTTATTGCTACACCCAAACGTAATTGTTTCATGCAAAGTTTAAGTAGGAGATAAAGTTCTATTGAAACCTAAGAACAAAGCAATAATTTTAGGTAACTCAGTTGAGACTGGCAAACCAAATTCAGTGTCAGGTTCAGCCCAAAGAACTCCACGAGACAGTGCAGATACACTTCTGTTGTGTTTATTAGC